TCAACTTTTTAAAGCCTTACTCAATTTTTATGAAAAAAAAAAATGTAAATCAAACATAACACCTTTTTAGATTTTATGACAAAGCAGAAATGGCTGGAAAAAATTTTAACCGACTTCAAAAAAGGAAGAGATTCTAATCCGAATATATTTTTTTGTGTATGTTACGCGATACTCCGGCATTTCGATACCTCCAATGATCACTACACTAATTTAATTTTAGGACATGTTCGTGAATTTACATCCAATTGCCAAGTTTTATTAAAATTGGTTACCGGAAAGTGTCCGAAGCAGGATTCATCCCCCAGTTTGGTAGCTAACTAGGGGATGAATCCGACAACGTTATGGCAACAGTCACTGGTGAAATTTTTGTATTTGTTCGATCTTTGTGACAATAATAATAATAATAATAACAAACTAGTGGAAGATTTTCGTCGCAATCAGTACAGGGTACTAAAAAACCGACCTCAAAATTCATCCCCTAGTATGCCACCCTTAGGGGTTGAATATTTTCTTAAAGTTTAAATGAAACCACTATCGAGGTATCTTCTTTCTAACAAAAAAAGAATTATCAAAATCGGTTCACAATAGCCGGAGTTATCGCGTAATATACCTACATACAAAAAAAATAAAAACGATTTTTTTTTTTTTCATTTTTTGTTTAATTTAAGTTTTTAGGAGTTTACCAGCGTTCCGCTAAATGTGCCTTTAAGCGTATTTTACACAATCTAACCTTCACTAGTAGCAAAGTATTCTACTTTCATTTTTGTTACAAACATGTCACATACACATTCCAAAACAATATTTACAAAAAAAATCGTGTTGAGTATTTCAGTTAAACAACAAGTCGATGCTGATTAACATAAAAGGAATTGCGTTTCTTACCAATATCATCTAGATGATTAGTAATAATGGTGGAACACGGTTATCTCCACGATGATGGCTCCTGAGCTTGATTGATTAGTGATTACATATTTAAACTAAAGATTAGATAGAAGAAGGTCGGCCGACATTGCTACAGAATGATTGTTTTGCAAAAAACAAAACTATTTTATTATTATAAATTAAAAGTACTTTATAGTAAGTTTTTACTTACTATAATGTAAAATTAAAAGATGTAGGAAAAAATATATCATCTTTAACCAATTTTAAAAAAGGAGGAGATTCCATTTTCATTTTTTTGTTTGTGTTACGCTATTACTCCTGCATTTGTGAACCGGTTTTGATGATACTTTTTTATTAGAAAGAGGGTATCTCAAAAAATTCCACCTCTAATGGTAGCAAACTAAGGGATGAACCCGGTTTCGCGCATTTCCAGAAACGATTGTTAACTTTTTAGTTTCAGTTTGTATGTAAGCAACGTTTGAAATCGGTTTTTTTTTTATAATAAAAAAATATAAATTATCAACTCTAAATTCAACACGAAAACGAGTCTTACCTTCAATGCATCCAACATACAAAGTAGTCTACTGTCTTAAATGTTGCTTTGATTACCGACTTCACAAAAGTGGACTAGGTACTACCGATGACTCAGCAAGATCAGACGAAATGTCCATGCAGAATTTATTAGTAACAACAACAAACAAACAAGGATGGTCAAAAAAAAACGGAAAAAAGCTTTAAATTTCGTATTTCACAGTTTATTTATTTATGAAAATACAGGTTACATATGTAGATGTTGCAAGCTAAACATTAGATATAAAAAACAAATTGAAGGCATACGGATCTAACAAATCAATCAACAATTTAAAAGCGGTTATAGGGAATTTTATTTTGACTAATATGGATGTACAATGAAGTTATATTGCTTGAAAACTTAAAGAGTTATACATTGACTTACAAATAAATGGACGACGGGTCTAATAGAAAAACCACGAAAAAAATGCCCCAAGTCAACCTATTTAAACGTAGTGACATGTAAAGGAATATGAAAAAGCTAAAACGTTGAATTTAAATTGTAAAGTCATCGCAGTACTGTCTAATTTTGCTTGCTTCGCTGTCAGTCGAACAAACGAAGACTAAAGCGTCAATGACGCTCTGTATACGATTTTAACGCCCTATAAGTTCGGACACTTTTTAGCGCGGACCCGACGTCCATATAATTGTAAGTCAATGGAGTTATAACAAAAATGTGAACTACAACGTCATCTGCATTTACAAAATAATTTGCGTTTTGTAGTTTTATGACAATAAACACTTTGTTATAGGACCTAAATACCTCTATCGGCTCTTCGCCAAAAAAAATTTTTTTTTCGAGTGTACCTAGGCCGAAACACAAACTTTAGTAAAAATTATATATTTTTTAGATACCAAGTGACTTGATGAACAAGTCGTGTGCTTGGTGATAAACGACACGCCTGTTTATAGCAGATCTGAGGGGGCACTACCACTGCGCCCGTCACCCTGTGACATGAGTTGAAAACTCAAAAAAAAGTCAAAAACAAGAAAATAAAATTATATGTCTAGATTATTTCTCTCATGAGTTTGGGTATAATTGGAGGTGGTCTATGTGTGTGTCTATGACACCCGCGCCACAGGAGTATGTACGTTACAAAAAATATTATTCTCACCCTTACCCTTACAAACCGCAACGCAATAATTCTCTCCTCACTGCTTGGAGGCAGAATTAGGTAAGATGGCAGCACTTCCCTGGACGAACTCTTTCACAAGGAGATTTACTGTCACTAGAGTAATTCACCCTGTATTACGTAAATCAATTTACAAATAATAAGCCACACCTTAAAGCCTATTTTTTGTCGAAAAACTTATTTCCAGATATTACCTCGATACGTGAATCACGTTCCACTGATAATGTGTTAACAATAAGCATTTCTGTAAATCGAATGACGATTATTACCATAGCATTACAATTAGTAATAACAACATCATTTTATTTCAAATTAGGAAAGTACCTATAGTACGAGATAACGGGGACACGATACACGCTACTTGGCAGGCCCAATGCCCAAAGTCAAAATCAAGACATCGATGACTGGAGAATACTTGAGTTCAGTCCGTCGTAGGCTGCGGTTCAACCAGAAATGTGCGAGATAGCTAGGCGGTGTGCGAGGAAGAAGTCCACCAATAAGATTACTTCATTTTCCTAGCATCGCTTAGCGCAGCTCTGGTGGAAAAGAGCTAGCGGAACTAAGTATTTGTACATACAAAAAAGCGAGAGATGTGTGCGAGGGATGCGAGTGAGGAGTGTGTGAGAAGGAATACGTGTGAGGTGCGAGAGATTTGTGAAAATAGTATAGGAAACTAAAGCTACTGGGCCGTCGCTTCACAGCCGAAAAGAATCCGCTACTCATCCTCACACCGCCCAGCTGCCTCGTACATCTCTGGCAGAACCACAAGCCTTAACGTTGTTGTAATTCGCACCTTTAGCGTAATCAGGCCATATCTACAAAACTACAACTTTTCAAGAGACAATTTTAAAAATCCTACAAACAAAATTAGTCGTTAACTTCGATTCAATCGATTTGTGTGCTTAAATAGGAGATTTATACAAATTCATATATACATATGTAATACTTGTTGTTTTTATGATTTTTATGTAATAAAAGCACTTTTGCTGTACACGTGGCTATATTATATCAAGACATTTGAATTTGTCTATCTACTACTGATTGTGAACAAGTCGTATGCTCATAATATTTTATTTAAATTTGGGGTACTTACACAGCAGCAGTAGAGCTCCGTGTGAAAGAGTTCGTCCTGGGATGTACTGCCACTGCCACTGCGTTCCGGTTTTCGTTGCTGGTGAAATTACTGGCACCTGGGACTTTTCAACTTATATCTCAAGGTAACAGGCACAGTGGCAGTGTTCCTCAGATCATTGCAATTTAAAGCCGTGAGTGGCTCTGCAACTGCTATCTATGGACAGGCGTGTCGCTTACCAGCAGGCGCACGACTGTTCGTCCCGACACTTGGTGTCATAAAAAAACTTTTAAACGTATATGCGCTGCAATATTGTGTTATGGGTTGGTCTGTGGCCGATAGTGTTGTGTACCGTATAAATAAATAAATAATAAAATTTTGTTATCACAGTCGAAGGAGCCAGACCCAGATGCCGTGCCCAATATGAATTTGAAATAAAAAACCCCATTAATTATTTTATTAATGTTACTTATTTTCCGTTCATCGGAAAACAAATAACTCGTAATTTATTTTTACAACTAACTGCGTAGGTATGTATCAAAGGTGATAGTCACCGTAGCATGATCTACGGCGTAGCTATTTGCAAAAGTGCGGGATGTCCTCGCAGTGTTTGCCCGCTACATGCGTAGCCTTGACGCGTAGCATATAGGGGTGAGAGCCGTGTACTACGGGACACTTCGGTACTCAATTTACCATAATTATGAATTGTGCGCAATATAAACGTTCCATGACATTAACATCGTACAACCCTCATTCAATTAATAACAGGATGAAATTTTGACATTTGGGACACTATTTCAACGTACGTAAAAATACACTTCCAGTATATGCCTCATCCAATAATAACAGTACACAGTCCAAAACTTAACGTGTGACTACACAATATTGTTGTAATATAATCATAAAATATATCATCCTTATTTTAGTCCATGTTGGTAAATAAAATTAAATTCTTTCTTTAATATTTTTGTATGCCTAAAGTTTAAAACGGTATTCTTAACTTGTAAGTGTTAACCTCTATATAACCTTCGCATCCACTAATAAAGTGCCAGATAACCACCCAATTGCCTGGTTTCTAAATTAGAAATATCCTGTACTATAAGTACCAGAACAACGGAATTCTGTGGTTCTACCAGAACACCCAGACCGGAACCAACTTAGAAAAGTTCATTTATTATATTAATATAAGCTTTCTCTATAGAAAGCCGAACTGGAAGCTAGTTTCGCAACGCAGTGCTTCTAACGTGTTCGCGTACGTTCGCGTGCGATTATAAATAGCTGAAGTACATGAAATGCTCCCGATTTGTCATTTCTCGATCGAACTCTACAGTCCACACGGTCAGCGTTCAGTAATTCTCGTTCGCCGCGCGGCTTCGCACGCCAATGCCTCTCAGATACCGCTCGCGAGTCAAATTAAAGTAACTTCTTAACAGCATAGACAATATAAAAACAAATGGGATAAAAAAGAAACAAGAAAGCATATAAAGACTCCATTATTTGAACTTCAAAAGTGATCGTATATCTTTTTCGTGTGATACTAGAATAAGTTGTTTTATTTTAGTGTAAGTTTTTAGTGTCCAAGTGTTTGTTTTAAGATGGCAGAAAACGGAGGTAATTATGATATATTTTTTCTTGACAAAAGAATCCAGACGTTGCCAATATCCCGAAGCGCCTAAACTACCTGTTGCGAATCTTTACAGCTGTTGTTTGAAACTTCCAACAAAGAAAACAACATGTTTCATATAACTCAGATGTGTCTTTTATTTGACGTAAATTGTTGTTATTTATTGAAATTAAATTATATCAACCTAGTTGACGTGTTCAGAAATTTATTTGGTTGAGTGAGTGTTGTTTATAAGATATACATATACAAAGAAAACAAAAGATAAATTTAAAAAAGTTTAAATCCGGAAACATAGATAAAATAAATAAATTTCCTATGTTAAAACAAATTAATTGTTGCCCAATTTTGTGAAACAATATTTACGTTGATTAATATTTTTTTAACTGGCAAAAAAATACAGAACGAAAGTAAAATATCAACAATTCAAAACGTTCCTTGCAAAACTATATATTTAAAAATAATACCAATATTTTTCTTTCTTTGTGACGTTAACAATCTCTTTTCACCCCCCTATCACGGCCAATGAACTCGTTGCTAAAAGACGGAAGTGTATTTATACATTATTTGCGTAAATCTTGTCACCGGGATTGGTTTTTTGTTGATGTTAATTATGCACATTTCTTCAAGTAACTTTGTCGAATTCGTGAGATTGTAATGGACTCTTGTTTTGCTAATGGCACTGGCTTCGTAAATCCGTAACTCCATAATTTCAGGTTGCTGAAATTGATTAAACAATAATAGCTACTGCAAAGAAATAATGCGGTATTCCAGATTGAAAGAAAGTATATAAGGAAAGTAAAAGGAAGGTGGTGTGGTGAAACGTGCATGCCTGTCTTTTTGAATCTCATACACTGATCGTTGCGGTCAGTTCACTATGCGTCATGCTTTCTAACGCATTCATTACAAAGAACGAAGAACACATAACACAGGACGCGAACACGTGAAGGCTTTTTATGTGCGTCAAGCCTTCAAACGCAATCATTACAAAGAACGAAGAAAGCATAGATGGCTTCTTTGAGCGACATGTTATCAAATGCCATTATTACAAAGAACACATAACCAGAATTCGAAACGCGTAAATCTTTTGTATGCGCCTTGCTTTCAAACGCAATTATTACAAAGAACGAAGAACATATAACGCAGAACGTGTGAACATTTTCTTTACGCAGAATCTTTGAGAGACTCGGAAGACTTAAGATCTTAAATTCCATGACCAGCATTTACATTTTCAATCAAATTTACCACTTAGATCTGGTTGCAAGTTTCCATCAGGTAGACCGTTTATCTGTTGGTATAAATATAATACATATTAGACATCACATACGTTGCGATCCCAAATAAGTAACTAATTGATTGGGAATTGGGAACAGCGACGGTATCACAAATACCCAGACCCGAGACAATATAGAAAAGTTAGTTTCTCTATATTGACGCGGCCGGAGACCGAACTCGGGACCTCAGAGATGATGATACCATAAAAACCAGGTGTGCTAGCCACTCGAGCAAATAGTTCGTCTAAAAGTAAACAACGTGAGTTAAAACTAACTAAATTTGTGTGATTATCATTCTTGCTCTAAAATTTGCATACGTTTATTAGATGTCACATTTTATTACATTATTAATGTGACTGTCACAATGTGTAAAAAAGTAAGCTCGTGCAATAAAAATAAATTAATTGAAATTGTGGCCATGCAACTTCGATAATGACTTTTTTATTGTTTGTTATCATCAGAACAATATCACGTTTTAGTTACAAATACAATGTAATTCTGTTGTTCAGAGCAAAGCACATGTCGTGTATATGAAATGACATTTAAAATTATTAACGTGCTACTTTTTTATGATCGTGTTAATTACTACTAATTTAATTAATGTTTCAATAATTTATGGTTCATAAAATCATAGGAATATACGTATCAATTTTACTTCTACATAGTCAAAAGTTTTTGTATAAAACTATAAGTCGAATCTCTACACAATTTATTAACCGACTTCAAAAAAGGAGGAGGTTCTCAATTCGTGTGTGTTTTTTTTGTATGTATGTTACGCGATAACTTCGCAATTTGTGAACCAATTTTGATGATTTTTTTTTGTTGGAAAGAAGGTACCTCAGATGTGGTCCAAGAAAATATTCCACGTCTAAGGGTGGCAAACTAGGGGATGAATGACTTTTGAAGTCGTTTTTTTTTAACGGTTATATCAGTTACTTTTGTTGAATTGTACTATAAAAAAGTGTTATACAAAACAATAACATGACATTTAAAAACTTATAAATACAAACATTTTTTTCGATACCAAGAGAAGGGACGAACAAGTCGGCCGTACGCCTGGTGGTAAGTGACACGCCTGTCTGTAGCAGTTGCAATGCCACTCAGAGCTTTAAATCGCAAAGATGTTAGGGGCACTGCCACTACGCCCGTCACCCTGAGACATAAGCTAAAGTAAACCAAAACGCAATAATGCACACTTCACTGCTTGATGGCAGAAGTTACGTTGGTTACATTACGAAGTCACGTTACTGTTAGGTAAGGTGGCTATACTTCCCAGACGAACTCTTTCACAAGGTACTCTACCGTTACTTGAAATACTTGAAAATCTTGTAATGACCATTAGCGGTGTCCCTTGCAACACATAACTTATAATTATGACAAGAAATTATTTTTACAACACCAAGTGTGTGGACGAGCAAGTGGTGCACCTGGTGGTAAGCGACACGCCTAACCATAACAGTTGCAGTGCCACTGACACATAGTTACACACCATCTCAGTGACAAGTCCCATGTGCCTGGAATTTCACCAGCACCCTTACCCTTGGCGGCAGTAATAGGTATGGTGGCAATACTTCCCTAGACGAACCCTTTTACGGGGAGCTCTACTGCTACTAAATTAATTACTTTTGATGACTGTGGGCCCTAATAAACGCTCGCACTGTATGTGGAGGACCCGGATTCGATTCCCCTTACGAATATTAACTTTTCTAAACTGATTCCGCTGTGAGTGTTCAAGATAATGTCCCCGGAGTTAATGGCGTTGCTCTAGTACCTTTTAGATATCCTAATTTGAGACTAAAAATAATCTACCACATTATTTACATCAATATATTCCAAATTAAAGTGTAAAAGGACGTTAAAATGAATGCATAGTTCACCATTTTGGACATAACTCTAAAACACAATTAGTGCCCGTGTTGTACTGTCAATCTGCTGCCAATTTCTCAGCTACTGTTATAAATAGACGTGTCTGTCAAAAGCGGGCGTGTCAACGTGCCGCGAAACGTGAGAAATAACACGTCTACCTATAACGACGTCAGGCTTGAAATCCCTCGACGTGACGCCATTTTTTTGTCCATTTTCATTATTAATAAAGTGCTACACAATTGTACTAATTAACTGGTCTCAAACCGGGGAATTTCTTGTATAGGGTTTTTCAACAAGAACTTTGTTTTGTTTTGTAATTCACTTCACGAATTTTGAGTTTTAAAGCTGCAATAGACACTGTCTTTAACATAACCCTATAAAAAATTATCCAGCGGTGTTAAATTACATTATCCAGCTGGCCATTTAACGGCTGAATTTCGTGAAATTATGCGATCGAGAAATTTGGTTTACAATAAATTTCGAATTATTTATTGTTTTGGAGGCAAACTTTTCATATTTTAGCAAATAATGAATATAGTGTTTATCTATTCGTCTCTACACTGGCCTAGTAAATTCTAAATCTCAGATAATGAAAACACGGACGGTAACATTGATAGAGGACGGCCATCACAGATGTTTTCAGATCAAATCGAAAATGTGTTTAAAAAGTATTCGGTAATTCTATCGGACATACCACGGAGAGCGTGCGATAGAATTACATGATTTAATCCGCCTACCCCTTTCCATCATCTGGGTACTAGACGTAGACTGAGGTTACGCCTCTATGATGTGGATTTTACAAAGATTCGCACAAAGCGTTACGCTTCGATATTTTATTTATGGCAATGTCTATGATCTCGAAATCCCTGCATGCAGACGTATTCTATAACTTGGGCCTCGAGACTGAATAGGCATTATTTAGGAGTGTATACTACGTCGACCTCATTATCACTTTCCATCAAATGAGATAGAGGTCAAATGGGCACTTATTTTTCTATTTAAAAAAAGTTGTGCGTAGTGAGAAGAATAAGAGGTGCTTGTATGAAAATATTGCTAAAAGTAAGCGCGTTTGCGCTCTACATCCGTTCCGAATCCGAGAATACAAATCTAGAAAACTAGGACCCATTTCGGATGTCACTGGCGCACTAAGTCGGATTCTAATCCAAGAAAATACGAATGTGGCTAGTACACCTAGAGATTAAATGACACTTTGGACACCTGTGACATTTCGCACTCGGATTGGGAACTGGGGGTCTCTCGATCTCCGTCCGAAACAATTACTGCCAAATAAGCAATACTTGACCAAATGAAAAGACGCGTGATGCGAATGACGCTTCATACTTGATACACGTCTTTTAATTTTGTCGAATATTACTTATTTGACAGTAATTGTTTCGGACGGATGTCCCGACTACGTCTGACTTCCTGATACGAGTCGGACGTACAGCGCAAGCGTTCTAAGTGTGTTCATTTGTGAGGTTCGTGCAAAATGACGATCTCTACTAGATAGGTAGGGTAGATACCCTAATGGGAATAACAGGTATATTATGTATTAAACATCAGGTTTTTATGATATTTTCTATTTCCTTCCAACCAGAAATCGCTGTTTAATGTCAAATTATACATAGTGATAACAAAAAAATGTTAAACGTGACCTTGCATTTATTTATTAATCCCTCATTGAATTCGCAACATTCTTCAACGCATCAATCAAATTGACTGGGTCAGTCGATTGCCGGCCGATAACGAACGCTCTTTGCCTAATTAATACTTTTTTTTTAAATTTAACATTGATGAAACGGTTAAACAATTAAATTTAAAAACTACAACTAAATAATATGACCTAATGA